ATATATATATGTATATGTATATGTATAAGTATATGTATATTGTATATATATATATATGTATATGTATATTGTTCTAATCTAGTGGATATGAATCTAACATATATCATGACTGCACATCTCGTTTCTTCTCACTCATATACAGTATGCAACGAGAACGTCAAAGCAGTGGTAAGGAGAAAGAAGGCCTGAGTACAACCGGCGACAGTCTGAAGGATGCCGAAGTCATGATCATTATACCCGAAGACATAACCCTGAGGAGGCGTATCCATCGTATGGTACAATACGTGGCTATATATGGGAATGATTTCGAGGCGCTGATTATGCAGCGCGAATTCCAAAATCCCGATTTCGAGTTCTTGTACGAGTACAACAGCAAGGAGGTATGCGATTTCATGATATTGATATATATGTATGTGTGCATACACACACATATATATATATATATATATATGTGTGTGTGTGTGTGTGTGTGTGTATGTATGTATATGTATATATCTATATCTATATCTATATATCTATATCTATATGTATATGTATATGTATATATATATATATATATAGGATTATCAAGTACGCTCTATATCATCCACATACAGGGCATATATCGCCAGTGAAAGATGATCACCGTGCAAGTAGAAAATTTGTACTTTAGCAATCAATACATAGCCTAATCAACAATGCACGCTTCACGCCATATGCACACAGCATATTTATTACCGGTGGAAGATGTTTACCATCCTACAAGGGGAATCGCCTAATGATTGGTCTAAGTCGCGGTTTAGGATGTACAAAGACGGGTCATGGTGGGTTCCGCCGATGGAAGAATTGGAAGAAGAGGTGTGCTTATGTCTGTGTCTGTGTCTCTTGTGTGCGTATTCGATTTTTATTTTACCTCCAAGGATCTGGTCAGATTGGAACGATATACTTGCACATGTATATATATGTATGTATATATATATATGTGTGTGTGTGTGTGTGTGTGTGTGTGTGCATATATATATATATATATGTGTGTGTGTGTGTGTGTGTATGTATGTATGTATGTATGTATGTATGTATGTATGTATGTATGTACCTATGTATGTATGTATGTATGTATGTTTGTATGTTTGTATGCATGTATGTTTGTATGTATATATATATGTATATATGTATATATACATTTCTCTGTCTGCGTCTGTGTTTGTGTAAGTGTCTGTGTCCGTATACGTGTCGTGTCTGTGTCCTTGTCCGTGTTTGTGTCTGTGTTTGTGTCCGCGTC